GATACCGGTCTGGGGAGTGGTTATAGGAGTGTGTACATAGGGGAAAATGCATCAACCTGTGTATCTCAAATTTATTTTACTTTATAAAGATAACTCTTAAGATTACAATAATAATAAAGGCCCATCGCAAAGACCTGGAAACAGAAACATACAAACACCTGTACTCCCGCCTCCTCCGGTGCCCAGATGGAACCGCCGGGAACAGACACTTTTGTGCGTCCTTTGGCACCACACAAGGGGCCCCGTGTCGGTGCAGGAGGTCCCAGAGCATCGCATAGAGGCCAGCCCTGTGGGCCGTTCTGCCGGGCCCTTGGCGGCTCCTTCTCTGGCCTGCTTGCAGGGCAGGGGCTGGAGGGCTGCACAGCGCTCTGGCTGTCTCACCTTCTTCCTTTCCAGCTTCATGCTGTCTCCCGCGTCGGCTGCTGCCCAGGAGCAATTAAAGGCCCAGCCGCGCTGCACTCACGGGGAAGGAATGGAAACACGTCGATTAAGTTTCACGGAAGTCCTTCTAAGGGGCCCACGTCTGGCCGGCGGTGTCTGGCTTCCTGTGGTCGCAGGCGGGGCTGCCCGGTGGATTTTGAGTGGGGAGTGGCCAGCCTTCCTCCTGCAGAGCCCAGGCCCTTCACCATGTGCGTCCCCCAATCCTTGGACAGCGTAGGAGCCCCTGGGGTCCGGGCCTGCCGCAGGTAACGCTCTGGCCAAGAGCTCGGAGTCCCATTAACTTGGAACATTCTTCCTTTTGAGTGGCTGCTCCTTAAATGGTTACACTCTGCGGCCCGCTGAGCCAATCTGTGAACGCCAGAGGCCTCCGGGCTGCGAGGCTGAGTCTGCAAAAGGCAAACAGCTTCTTTAGGCCCCATTTGAATTATCAGAGGCCCGGCAGCTGGGAAGGTCACCCCCAAGGCTGGTGGCTGCTGGTGGCCCCAAGGCAGACGAGGCACCAGGAGACAGGGGCAGAGGGCGGACTCAACCAGCCCAGACCTGGGTTGGATCCTGGCTCTGTCTTTCTCCTTCTCTCTGTCAGCCTCAGTTTCTTTATCTAGAAAATGGGGTGTCCTTACTGTGCCCCTAGGATCTTTCTGTGACTGAGAAGGAGGATGTGAGTAGAGGGCCTGGTGCATAGCAGGTGCCTGGAAACCGTTGTTATTCTTGGGGTGAAGCTAGTGGATTCAGGAGGAGACCAGGACAGGGAAGATGTCTTCACACAGAGGCTGGGACCTGAGCCTTGTTGGACGCGATGAGTAAAAATAAAAAGCAGGGATGATAACAATAGCAGCAACACCTTGTACTTTTCCCGACACCCCTTACATCCATTATCTCCCTGTGTCTCCAGAACAATCACCTGAGCGAGACAGGTTAGGAACGAGAATCCTCATTTACAGATGGGGAAACGGAAGCACGTCAAGGAAGAGACGGTTTAGCTCCTTGTTTCCCAGAGGTGGGGTTGCAGACTGCTGCTGCGACACAGGTTGTCACAGACTGGAACTAAGTAGTGTGGAATCGTGCCGAGAGAGGGTTGGGCCCTTTGGAATTCTCTGATCTGCTGAGGACCAGACAGAATGCCTCCCTCTGCTGGGAGGATGCCCGTAACATCTTTCTCATGCGTGGCGACCCTGCTTTGGAAAAAAGAGACAGAGAAGACCTCCTGGGCCTTCCGGAGGTGACCAGCTGCCCCTAGAAGGTCATGGCAGTATTTGTTCTCATTCTTTACTTTTTCACTTAAAAAATAGATTATTTTTATAGAAATAGAACAGCAAAATTAAAATATATTTTATATAATAAATCTATGTTTATTATATAGTTATCTATTATATTATTTAAATAAATATATATTATTTGAGATATATACTATAGCTATTCTAATAATACATATAAATATATTTATATAAGTAAAATAACATAAAAACCACCCAATCCATCATTGGTTTATTTTTGGAGTTACATTCTGTTTATGCCAGTGGGTCCTGATTTTTCCATTTATGCTGGTGATACAATAATAACTCGAAGATGATCACCAAATTAGCAGTGTTGGCTGCTGTATATTTAGAGTGCCCACTAAATCTGCGTGGATGACCTTGTTCACGCTCGCTTGCTCTTCAGGGCAGGTATGGTTGCCATCTTGTTTTACAGATGAGGAAACTGAGGCAGAGAGGGTTGGGTAACTTGCCAGGTCACATGACCATAAGTGGCAGAGGCAGAATTTGAACTCCAGCAGTCTGCTGCATTGTCATCACCAACATGGTGCCACAGAGTCTTCATTTAAAAGGCAATTACGTAAATTCTTAAAAAGTGAGTGGATTAAAGAAAAGCAGTGAGAGCTAACAGTCCAAATGGCACTAGGATATGCTAAACTTCCTGAAGGGGACAGCGAATGACAAGGTTGAAGAGGTTACAAGGCCAGCTGAGCCTTTCCCTGTTCTGTCAAATTGAAGACCCACCCCACCCCCGTGTGACAGTGCCCCTCCTGGGCAGGTGCACTTTCGACATCGAACATTGTCCCCTCTGAGCTCACAGCCATGACAGTGCCAGGACACTCTTTCCATCAGAATGGGGACTGTAGACATTTCATTCTACAAATAGTGATGGCGGGCCTACCCTGTGCCCAGCACCGTGTGCGTGCTGGGGACACAGTGGTGACACTGACATTTCTCTGAATGCCCTGGGCTGGCGTCCTCTGTTTTACAGCCTGCTAGCATTGGAATCTTGCTGGAATCGAGAAGTGCCATCTTCCTCCTCCTTGGAGTCTCTGTTTTATTTCCCTGTCTCCAGGGTCCTGTTTATAAGAATGATTCTTCTGTCCTAAATAAACTCCCTTTATGTTGGATTCTCATTCATTCTCATCTTCCTCTGCATCCCCCAGTGAGACAGGTGCACTCAGAGCTTGCGACGAGTCTGGGGCACCCAGCATGGCTTCCATGAGGCTTTCTAAGAGTTGAAAATCATAACCCGTGGATTCTATTACTCTACCTGGCTGGGAACCTCTGGCCTTGTCCAACTTTCCTGTTTTACAGAGGGGAAAATTGTGGCTCAGAGAAAGGCATTTTTATTCATCCTGCCACAACGTTTACTTACCTGTTTGGTGCCAGGTGCTGAGGACCCTGGAGGGATAGGAGCCAGTGCCTGCTCGGTTTGTTTCTATTGCTGCTGAAACAAATTTAGTCGTTTAAAGCAACATAAACTTATTATCTTGCAGTTCTGTAGATTCGAGATCAAGGGGGTCTCCCGGGGTGCGGGCACACTGGAGACCCACAGGAGAATCCGTCTGCTTGCCTTTTCCAGCTTCTAGGAGCCGCCCACATTCCTTGGCTCTTCCTCTACTTCCAAAGCCAGCAGCATTGCATCTCTCTGTCCTTCTTCTGTGGTCACATTGTTCTCTGGCTCTCAGCTCTTCTGTATCCTCTTCTGCTTTCGAGGACCCTTGTGACTGGATTGGGCCCAGCTGGATAATCCAGGATAATCTCCCTATTTTCAGGCCGGCCAATGAGCAACCTTCATTCCTCTTTGCCAAGTAAGGTAGCATATTCACAGGTTCCAGAGATGAGGACATAGGCATCGTTGGGGCCATTATTCTCCTTACCACTCCTGTCCTCAGGGAGCCTGGAGTCCGTGAGGGAGATGGCAATCAGTGTGTGAACCGCTATGATGGGGGCACCAGAGAAGCCCAGAGAAGGGGGCACCTGACTCAGCTGGGGCGGGGGGGCGGGGGGGAAGACAGAGGAAACCTGGAAGAGATGAGGGCTGCCCTGGATCTTGAAGAATGAGACGGAGTCAGCCAGGTGGAGAGGGAGTGGAAGAGGAAGGAACTGCATGTGCAAAGGCCTAGGGGAGAGCGAGAGAAGGCATGTGTCATCGAGGCGGAAGCATGGAGAGGGGTGGTGAGGCTGGAGGCAAGGCTGGCGGGGCCACGGGGATCTGGCTGCCTGGAGGCCGGATGCTCAAAGGCAGTGGGGGGCCTTTGAGGACTCTGAGCAGGAGCCTGAGGGGGTCAGGTCGGCATCTGAGAAAGGCCGTCTGGGGTCCTGTGGAGAAGGGCTGGAGGTGAGGCAGACTAGAGGTGGGAACCCAGTGAGGAGGTGATTCGGTGGAAGAGGCGATGGAGGCCTGGATCTGGCGGGAGCGAGTGGTGGGCGAGCTGTTGGAGGTGAGGAGACAGTATAGGGCATGGCCGAGGGCTATGCGTGGGCGGGGGAGGCAGTAAGAGGGGCAGGATGATGGCAGATTTCTGACCAAGGAGTCTGACAGGCTAGTGGGGACTGAGCTGGGGACATGGGGGGACAGTAGGCTTCGGAAGGTGTTGAGTTGGGTTTGATGTGTTGATGGTCTTCGCCTGAGAGACGTCTACGGGAGGCATCCGAGAGGCAGCTGGATATATGAGTCTGGGGCTCATATATCAATTAGGTGTCACGTAATTATATATCATATAAACATATATCAGTCAACTTGTATCAGTTAGTTATTGCTGTGTAACAAACCACCCCAAACCCAGTGGTGGAAAACAGTCATCCCTTACTGTCACTTGTGAACCTGCATGTTGACTGGGGCTTGTCTGATCTAGGCTGGGCTTCACTGATGGCTCAGCTTCAAACTGCAGGTCCACGGGTCAGCCAAGGGGTGGGATTTGGGGAGGCTACCCTCTCCCTTCCCTCTAGCCCTGACCTGGATGACTTCCCCCATTTGTCTACTCCACCTTGGACCAGTGGATGACATTTGAGCCAAGATCTACAGGACGTGAAGGAATGAGGATGTCTTAAGGAGGAGTATTCTGGGCTGAGGGAACAGCCAGTGCAAAGGGCCTGAGGTGGGATTGTGGCCAGTGTGTCTGAAGAACAGGAAAGAAGGCCAATGTGGTTGAGGAGGGTATACAAGCGGGAGGGGATAGGAGAGGACGTCAGAGAGTTAGCAGGGGCCTTGGTCATACGGGGCCAGGAAGGTCATGGGAAGTGGCCACCCTTATTATTACTGCTTACTATCACTTTCACCCTTTCCTCCTGTCCCCACAGGACCCCCCATCCCTGGACACAGCCATCCAGCACGCCCTGGCGGGCCTCTATCCCCCTTTTGAGGCCACGGCGCCCACCATCCTCGGTCAAGTGTTCCGTCTCCTGGATTCTGACTTCCGGGGAGATGGGCTGAGCTTCCTCCTGGACTTCCTGATCCCTGCCAAGCGCCTGTGTGAGCAAGTGCGCGAAGCAGCCTGTGTGAGTCAGGGGGATGCAGGGCCAGGGGGCGAGCTCTCCCAGAAGGCCATGGGGCTGGAGGTGAGCAGAGAAGGAAGCGGGCTGATGTGTGTCTCATCTCAGAGCAGGAGCTGAAGATGTGGGATGGTTTTCCAGGTATCATTGCTTCCTAAGGGGAGAGTTCAGCCCCCTAGTGGAGCGGGAAGCTCCTTCAGCCCTTTACCCTCTGACACAGAGTCATCAATCGCGTTTGCATTTCACTGGCGGGGAGGAAGCCCTGGATAAAAGCAAGTCTGCCCTGGGTCTGGCGTTGTGGGCATTGCCAGGCTGCCTTGGCTGTGGTGGGGCAGCTTCAGTGGAAAGAGCAGAGAATGTTCCAGACCTTCTGGGGAGCCCTTGAGGCCACAGGACTCTCGCTTTCTTCCCAGGAGATCCCTTCAAACCAGATCTCAGGGAGGGCTCTCCTGAGGCAAAGGGGAAAGAAAAGCGTTTCAGGCAGGACTCACTGCCTGCAAATGACAGATCCTCACTCTGACGGGGACAGGGTGATCTGGCCTCGGGCCCGAGTGGACCCTCCCATCAAACCCCTTGAGGACTCTTTCTGTCTCTTGTCTCTGCTTCTTCTGCTTGCCAGCATCCTTCTTACAAGCTGGGTGTTCCCACAAGGCTGGAGCCCAGGGCAGCCCTGGGATCAAATCCTACCCTGGAGAGGAAACGGAACTCCTCCCCATCAGCTACAGATAGAAAAATCACAAGCAAGCATCCTGATTGGCCAGGCTTGGGTCCTGTGTCCATCCCTGGACCAATCACTGTGGCCAGAGGAGTGGGGTACCAGGATTGGCCAGGCTTGAGTCATATGACTACCTCTGTGGCCAGAGGATGGAGTCTGTTTTAAGTAATGGCTGGAGAGAGGCATGAGGAGAGCAATCCTCAGATGCCCACTGCTGGAACTTGCCCACCCCCTTCACAGGGTTGCCAACTGTGCCCTGCTCTGCTTTAGTAATGCCCACCCCCTGCGCCCCTAGCCTCAAGAATCACCAAGAGGGTCTTAGGCCCCACCAGCATTTCCTGAGCTGCTCATGCCTGTCAGGGACATGGTACATCAGGAGCAAAAAGCAAGGGTGGGAACCATGTGCGTCGCTTCAGTGATAGACAGAAACTGAATGTGGGGCTGGCCCCGTGGCGTAGCGGTTAAGTTTGCACGTTCCACTTTGGCGGCCCCGGGGTTCACCAGTTCAGATCCCGGGTGCAGATATGGTACCGCTTGGCAAGCCATGCTGTGGCAGGCATCCCACATATAAAGTGGAGGAAGATGGGCATGGATGTTAGCTCAGGGCCAGTCTTCCTCAGCAAAAAAATAAAAGAAGAGGATTGGCAGCAGATGTTGGCTCAGGGCTAATCTTCTTCAGGAAAAATAAAAATTCAGGCTTAGGAGCCAGAATCAGAGATGGTTGGAACTGGAAAAAAACAGATCATTCATTTAACATGCTTAACACTGCCCAGCGTGCAGAAATAGCTACATACACATTCATTGTTATTACAGGGGAAGGAAGAGTCTCATTGAAACACTTGCGGCCGACTTCCACACATCCACATTGACATTGTTTCATGCATATCCTTCCCCATCATATTTCTTCTCCCTGGCAAGCTATCCAATTGCCCACTTCCTTTATTTGGCAATTAAAACTACATTTGCACTGTCCTCTTCCCCATTTCTCCCAGGGACGAGGGTCACCTTTCTACTTCTTTATTTGTCATTATAGACAACTTTAATTTAATTGTACTTATAGATGAATTCATGTCACCTCAGAGCAGAGGGTAGTAGCCTGGGACTAACAGTATGGCTTCGGGGCCACATGAACCCCAGGTGCGAATCCGGGCTCCATCACTGTGAACTCGGGGGATCCATGTCACCTCTTGAGCTTCAGTTTCCTTGTGTGGAAAGTAGAAATGTTGATAACACGGCACCTACTTCGCTGAGATGATGCTCACAGCCTCGCGCAGAGCCTGGCAGGCAGGCAGTGCTCAGTAGCTGCTGGCTGTTACTATCCCACTTCTTCCTTTCTCCCTCTGAAATAAGACTGTGCCAGCCTCAGAGTCTGCCTTTGTAACCACAGGCACCCAGAGGCAGCCACCCTCAGATGAAGCCTAGTGGATATTAAGGACAGTCAGAGCCGATTCATAATATAGGGTCCAGACCCAAGTCCTGCTTTTTGCTGCTTATCAGCTGTGTGACTATAAGCCTGTTCTTTGACCTCTCTGAGCCTCAGTTTCCTCATCTGTAAAGAGAGAATAATAATGACTGAACTGCCTGCACCACTGAGTTACTGTGAGTGTCAGATAAGATAATCGCAACTGTCATCTCTGTGGTGCTTTGCTGTTTGCAAAATATCGCTGGGTTGTTCCGTCTCCTTCAATGAGAAGGTGAAGGAAAGCATGTCATAAACAGCAGAGGGCTCGGTGAAAGGGGTGGAATAGCTCACAGACTCACGGGGTTTATGGATAGGAAGCTTCTCTGAGGCAGCCAGGTCTATGGCGTAAATGGGATGAACTAGTTTATCAGCTTGGGGCACAAGTATGGTCAGATCTCATTATTTCCCCAATTAATAATTCCAGGAAACACTTGCTTAACTAACAGGAAGTTCAGTGTCTCCCGTCTACACGTCCAAATTATATAAGATCATCTGGGGTTTGCTCGGTTGACAGGATCAGACTCTTTTCCAAAAGCCAGGTAGAGAAAGACATGTCGTCAGCCCAGTGGAGCTGTTGTTTCCGTGGTTGCCACGTGGTGTCACAGTTGAACACTGGTCCCCGCACAGCCCGGTGGAGAGGCTCAGCCCAGACGGGTCACTGTGCTGGGGCCGACTCCGGGATGACTTGCTGTGTCCACCTGTACCGAGAATTGCTGGCACTTTCTATTTAAAAAAATTGTTCTTTTTAGGTTTTGCCTCATCTGCCATGTTATCACCACCAATGGGAAATTAATAAATTAATTAATTAAATAGTAAACAAACAAATAAATAATAAACGTTCAGGCCCGGAATAGTGGAATGACTTTTTTTCAACGTCATCGAGCAAGGCAGGCAGGGTCAGATTTCCTGACTTCCCACACAGTACTGTTTCTACTTCACGCCGTAATCTCTCTAGAGAATGGTATAAAGGCAGTAAATTACCTTTTTGTTTTTTAATTGAAAATCCCCACAATTTTTCAAAGAGTAAATGTTGTCAAAGGGAAAGGAAATTAATATTTATTTTACATCTACCTATTATATGCCAGGCATTGTGTTGGGGATTTTTGGTACATTTATATAATCTGGCTTAATCCTCATCCCAAACCACTAATACCAATATGTATCGTTATTCCTATTTGCAGGTAGGGAAACTGAGGCTCAAAGAAATTCAGTAATTTGCACATTAACGATTCAGATCTTGGGGGCCCTGTCTCCCTGGCTGTAAAGCGGAGGACTCCGGCTTCAGCTGGGACGAGAGGGGCTTTAGATGGACGGGGAGGAGAAGGGCGCAGGAGCCTCGTGGGCGGGGCACTTGCTAACTGGTGCCTGGCACTCGGAGCTCTTCTCCCCTGGGCCAGTGGGTTAGCAAGTATTTTCAAGGTTCCTGGTGGGACTGGGGTGACACAGAGGCGCTGAAGGGACAACATTTAAGGAGGCGTCACTCTCGGGCTGCGGGACTTGCAGGACCCCGTGAGCGAGGCCCCCTGAAGTGCTGCGTCCTCTCTCGCCGCACCCCGGCCCCCGCCTGTTCCAGGTTCCATCTGGGAGAGGGATGGGGGCAGATTCCAGGGCCAGACTCTGATGCCGGCCCCTTCTGTCCACAGGCCCCCTACGCACACTGCCTCTTCCTGCACGAGGGCTGGCCGCTGTGCCTGCGGGGCAAGGTCGTGCTCCACCTGGCACCCCTCAGTCCCCTCTCATTGCGTGAGGGCGACTTCTACCTCCAGGTTGAGCCCCGGGAGGAGCAGGCCGTCTGCATCACGGTCAAGCGCCTCTCCTCGGACCTCCGCACGGTGGACACGAAGCCTGTTCCCGTGTCATCCTACCCTCTCATCTTCACCCCAGCGTGGCTGGAGGCCATCAACAGTGACTTTGAGGGAAGTCCCCTACGCAACTGCCTGGTAGCTTCAGAAGATGGGATTGTCCCTGTGCCCTGGACCAAGATAACCTGCCCAGAGTTTGTGGATGACAGACCCCAGGAAGTGGATGTCCTTTCCCCGGCCTGGGGGTCCCTTCAAATAGAGGCCCTCGATTTGAGCAGCCCTCGAGAGCTGCACCAGACCACGTCTCCAGGCAGCCAGGTGCTGCTTGCCCGGAGCTCGGCCAAGGGTAAAGACAGGATGTACGGGAACAAGTACCCGGGGCTCATCAAGGTGGAACAAGCCGGGCCCGGGGAGGCGGCCTTCAGGATGGATGATGTGGCCAGCCAGGACTTGGAGGGGGACTATGTGGCCCTCCTGGACTTTCCCCTGCAGAGCAGAGGAGGGTCTCCCAGTCGGGAGGTGGGGAAATGCCATGGGTGTCCCTTTGGGGCGCTGGAGGAGGCATCTGGAAGTAAGGGAATGCCCGTCTCTCAAAGAATGCTGCCTCTCTCAGGGGCCAGTGGGGGGCCTTCCTTGGAAAAATGGGCTTGTGCGGAGCTGTCAAGCTCAGAGCAGGAGCCCTGCATTTTGGACTCCAGGAAAAAGGTCAACCATCAAGCTACCACCAACAACTCAGCACGCCAGCCCCAAGAGCCCGACTGCAACGTTCTTGGGAACCCACTGCACTGTGCCTCTGGCCTCGAGGCAGGTGTCGCAGAAAAGCCAGCTGTCTCCAAGATGCAGGGACCTCTGGGAAACCTGGAGAATATGGTCCAGCTCAGGCCTGGACCAAAACAAGCATCTTCTCCTCGGCTCCGCCCAGCTGCTCCTGCTGCTCCAGCCCCTGAAACCAAGATGGGAGAGGGGGCCACACAGGTCAGTGGGAGGCTCCCCAAGGCCGTGACGGGCCCCAGTAGAAACACCTCCTCTTCCAGATCCCCCACTCCTGGGCTCAAATTCTCGTTCTTGAAGGGGCAGAGGCAAGCCCCGGAGAAAGCCTCGCTCCAGCACAACCGGCCTTGGAAAGTCTTGTGTTCGCTCCACTCGCCCACGCCCCCCCGAGCCAGGTGCTCGGGGAAAGGTAAGGTACCCCCTTGCTCGGCTGGACAGTGGAACTGTCCTCTGGATGTGGTCAGGTGACAAGGTGGCGCAGGTTGTCAGGGACAGAGACCCACCTGGGCTGGCTCAGTCTCAGGGCTTTAGTGCAGGGGTGGCATGTCGAGAGACTTCGTGTCACGGGTCTGGAACTGAGCAAGGCCCTGTGACTCTGTTGACAGACTGAGTCCACACCCCAGCTTTGCCATATGCTGGCCAGGTGACCTTGGTCAAGGACTTGACTTCTCTAAGTCCAGCCTCTCTCTGCACGGTGGGGATCTCACCTGCCTCACAGAGTTGTTTTGAGGTTCAAAGAGACACCAGAAGTGAGGAGCTTAGCACAATGCCCGGCACACTGTAGGAGATCAATGGTTGTAAGCTGTTATCATCAGTCAGAAGGTGAAAGAGAAAACGTTTCCCCTGGGAAAACCCATCTTTTGCTTAACACCCTTTTCTTGTTGCTTTTCCCCAGCTGGAACATCTCATACCAAAACATCTGGCCTGGCCACTGACTCAGGCCCACTGACTGGGGAAAAAACTGGCTTCCCAGAAGCTTCGACAGGCCCTCCAGAAAGAGGCCGCCCTCCGGATGCGGAGCCGCCAGGACCTGAACCAGGGATTGGGGCTCTGAGTGTGGAAGTCCTCCATTCTGGGATAGCATGCCTGCCAGGTCCTCGGGTTCAGGGGCTGGTGGAAGGGGCTGGGGGTGGGCAGTCCCTGAGCATCCTCACATGCTGGTGGGTGTGGGGGAGGCAGGGAAAGTCCTGGAGACCAAGCCCCCCTAGGACTCAGGTTCCTCATCTTTCCAATGAAGGAGCTGGAGTATATGAAAGTGATTTCTAGGTATCCATCCATCCATCCTTCCATCCGTCCGTACTACTTTTGGTGAGGCAGCCAAGGCGGCTGTCTGAGGCCAGGGTCCCTAGAAGCAGAGCCAGAGCCAGGGGTCCTTGGGAAAGGGAGTTACGTTACTGAAGGATGCTCTCAGGAGAAGGGCAGTGAGGGGGGCAGGGCAGAGGAGGCAAGGATGCGGCCTGACCCCACAGGGGCCCTGGAGCATGCATTACACCACAGAGCTGGTTCTGTCTTAAGTGCAGGGGGCTGGCCGTTTGTACATCTGGGCCTGTCAGTCATCAACTGCAGGCTGGTTCTGGGGTGGGGGCACAGCTGGGCCCATGATCCAGTTCAGCTGAGGGCAATTCTTCAGAGAAGGAGGCGTCTGTGAGCCAATTCTAGCCAATATTACAGCCCATGGGGGATGGGTGCCCTGACCTGACGAGGGGGTCTGGGTGGGTGTTAACAGCACCCACTACTGAAGGCGTTATCCTGTTTAATATCTCTTCATCTTTGCAATGAGTATTTATCGAGCACCTGCTGTGTGCCAGGCTCCGGGCCCAGCACTGAGGGTTTAGGAGGGAACAAGTCTGATATGTTCTCTGCTCCCAGGAAGTCTGTGCTGGTGGTGAAGAAAATTCAACAGGTTATTACAACAGGTTATTACAATCCAGTGTAAAAAATGTGTGACCACAGGGCAGTACAGGTGGCTGTGGGAGGACAGCTGAGGACCCTGGCCCAGGCTTGGGGTGGGGGAGAGGTCAGGGAAGACTTTCTGGAGGAAGTAACGTGAAGCTCAGTTCCATATGTGAGTAGGCATTGTCCATGTGAAGGGGTGGGAACAGCGTTCCAGACAGAGGGAACAGCATGTGTAAAGATCTGCGGGCAAGAGAGACCACTGTGCTTTCTGAGAACTGACTGTCCTGAAATTCTGTTTTCCTTCATGGACTTCTCTGTCTCTGGGGAACCAGGGCCACTGCTCTGTCTTTTTGAAACTCCTGGAGGCACTGTCTGTCGTCTTCCTGGTCATCTTTGTTGAAGCTCTTGCTGTGTGTTCCCATTTTAATTGTACATGAAGGCTCTCACGATCCTTTTAGGGCTGTCGTGTTCCAAGAGCTCAGCTTTTATCCATCAAAGGGCTCTGTTCTGGGGGCAGGGGACCTTCATTCTAGTTTCCAGTTCCTCTCCCAGCTCCCTGGGTGACCTGGGAGGAGCCACTTGCCCTCTCTGGGCCTCAAGCTCCTCCTTGTGTAAGAGGAGAAAGAGAAGAAGCACACTGAACTTGGCTCACCATCACTCTTTACACAGTGACTCTCTTGTAATTTTTTGGGCTTGCAACATCCACTGATGAGTCCCAAGTGGCTGGAACAGTGCCTGGCACATGGTGGGTGCTCAGAAAGCGTTTGTCGCGTGAATGAACGTTCTCCACGTGGATGCTCCTTCCTCCCTTCCTTGACCTCCTCTTCTTCAGTGATCTTGTCCTCGTTCCCCCCAGCTCCTCCTCCCATGGCCATCCCCACACTGACGGCTCCTCCCTCCTTACACTGCCTCTCTTCCCAGCTCACCCGCCACCCCAATTTTAATAACCTTTTGGTCTCCCAGCACCCTCAACCTATTGATCCAACCACATTTCACTGTCCCTCCCCACGCTCCATCGTGTCCCCACTTCCTCCTTCCCAGCTTAGATTCCATGGCTCATCATAGTCACTTCCTTCCAAACACTCTCAGCTCCCTCGCCGTGCTCTCCCACCTCCACGCTCTCTTGGAGAAATCCCCACCTCAGGCCAGTCCAGTCCCGCCCGCTCCCACTTGCACCCTCACAGCTGAGCAAACCCGGGAGGTCCACGCAACCATGTTGGCTGGTCACACATTGGATTCCTGACACTGACCTCCAGGGGGTCCCAGTGGTGCCTGTGGATTCTGTGACTTCCAGAGCCCGGAATGGTTCCTCCACTGTCCCTCTGACCTTCGACACCGCCTCCCTCAGCCTTACTCTCAGCGGAGACCATCCTTCTTGTCTCACTGAGAAAGCAGAAGCTCAGAAGGAAAACTGCAAACTCCTGCCCGCACACTGAGCTCCCTGGGACGTCTGTAGGGGCACATACAGCTCTCTCCTGCAGACGCGCCCCCCTCGCAGAGGAACCGCTCTCCGCTGGTGCGCTGCTTCTCCTCGCTACTCAGAGACAGCCCTCTGGCAAGAGCCTCCTCTCTTCCCTACTGATCACCTTTCCTGCCCTCTGTGGAACCTCTACTGGCATAAGAACATGCTGCAGTATGCCCAGCGTGGAGTGACCATCAGGGGCTCACACACTTTCATTCTTATCTTTCTTTTACATCAGGACCCCGCGTGGGAGTTGCCTGGGCTCCCATCTCAGCATCACCTCTCCTCTCCCTCGCTCTTCGACTCGCTCTAATCAGAATTCCTTCCCCACCTTGACTCTGAGACAGGTTCTTCTCAATGTCACCAATGACTTCCACGTTTCTCGACCCGGTGGTCCATTCTCCGTCCTCATTGTCCGTGCACCATCTGCAGCATTGACACGGACGACTGCTCCCTCCTCCCTGAAATGCCTTCTTCTCCCGCCCCTCAGTCCACACTCCCACTGGTTTGCCTCCTCCTCACCGGCCACCCCTTCTCTGCCTCTCCTCCCGCCTTCTCACCTCTCCGCCTGTAGACCTCGGAGGGGCCCCAAAGCTCAGCCCTCGGACCCTCTCTCCTCTCCATACACACTCCCTTCCTTAGCGATGTCATCAGTCTCCCCGTTGAATATTTGTTTTAAATGCTGTCTCTGCATTGACAACCCCCATACTTATTTCTCCAGCCTGGACCCCGCCTGTCAGCTCTGCGATCCTTCTTCCAGCTGTCTACGTGATGTCTCCGCTTGTATGTCTAACTCAACATGTCCAAACAGGGCTCCTGACCTCACAGGCCCTCCACCTTCCTAGCCTTCCAGTCTATCTTCATCACAGCACAAGGTGGCAGCTCCATCCTTGATTGCGCTCTTTCCCTTACACCCACATCCAATTTGTTGGCAAATCCTGTCACTTCTTCCATCCAATTATAAGCAGAATCTGATGACTTCACACCACCCAGGTCCAAACCAGCATAAGGAGCATCCACGCCTATTGCAGTCTCCTTGCTGGTCTCCCGGCCTCCATGGGAGCTCCCCTGTAGCCCAGACAGTCCCCAGAGACTGTTCCAAGATCAAGCTCTGCTCCAGGCCAGCCCTTGTGGAGCAGGGGTCCCAGTCCCCTTCCAGGATCTCTTCCTCACCTCCCTTCTTCTCCTCAGGTCTGAGCTCAAACTTTCCATAGAGATCTGTTCTCAGGAAAGAGACCGATCAATGCTAACGTGAACGACTGCTCCCATGCCGGGGGTCGGGGCTCCATTTTAGCCGGCACTGTATGAGTTTCCTGCAGTGCCCAGAGAAAATGGCCACAAACTCGGTGACTTAAAACGAGATAAACTTACTGTCATACAGTTCTGTAGATTAGAAGTCTGACTCATTAAAATCGAGGTGTCAGCAGGCCTGCATTCGTTTCTGGACGCTCTGGGGAGAATCTGTACCTCGTCTTTTCCAGCTTCCAGAAGCTGCCTACATTCCTTGGCTTGTGGCCCCTTCCTCCATCTTCAAAGCCGGCAACATCACATCTCTGACACTTCACCTGTCTTGACGCCTTTCTCTGACTGAAGCTAGGAAAGGTTTCTGCTTTTGAGGAGCGTGTGGTTAGACGGGGCCCACTCAGATCGTCCAGGCTGCTCTCCCATCTCCGGGGCCTGCCTTAATCGCGTCCATGAGGTCCCTGTGCCAGGTCAGCTGACATATCCACAGGCTCTGCGGATTAGGACGTGGACATCTTTGGAGCCATAACTCTGCCTCCCACAGGCACAAAGCCTGTGAGAGGGTTTCTCAGGCTTTTCACTGGAAAATGCACCCGGATGGAGAAGAGAGGACCCGGGTCCCAGGGCCTGAGACCTCACCCTGAGCTCTCAGTTGCTCTGTACATCTCTTTGAAGTCTTTTTTGTTTTTAAAATTTCTATAGATTTTGTATTCTACTTAAGAATACATTCATGTTTGTTTCAATACGAAAAATGCTCTAAATTGCTTGCCAGTTAACTTACTCACAATTTCCCTCCAAACTGGGAGTGAATGATGCCACAGGAGGTGCGACAGTTTTTCGGTGGCTGCAACAGTTTTTGTGCCCCACCCAGACCCTCCCAGCCTGCAGTCCCCATGCCCACCTGAGACTCGTAATCCAGTGTGAGCAGCACAGCTTCGAGTCAGGGCTCTGAGATGCTGGTGATGGTAATTCTGGCACCAGCTGTCAGGTGAGGGTGGCATCTGGGGTAAAGAGGCCTCCCAGCCGAAGGCAAATCAGAGGACAGTGACCCCTCGGTCCAGTGGACTCAGCCGGTGTCTGTGCTCAGCCAGCCCTGGCAGTGTGCAGAGCCCCATTCCAGGCACAGCTGGGTCCCCACCAGACACAGTGTCCTGGCTGGATGTCCAGAGCGCTTGACTCCTGTGCCACTCAGAGTGTGGTCTGGGGACCAACTACATGGGCATCACCATGAAGCTAGGGAGAGATGCAGAACCTCAGGCTGGCTGAAGCAGCATCTGCCTTCTGACAAGATCCCCAGGCACAGGGAAGTTTGTCCTCCGTTCATTGGCCAGTCGATCACTGGCCTCGATTATCTGCTGCAGGCCTGTGCTGAGTGTGGGGGCACAACGAGCCTGAGCCACTGAACACCCGTGAGGAGCCCTCCATCCTGCAGGACCCAGTAGAGGCCTTCGTCGCTGCAGGAGCCTGGGGGGAGCAGGGCTTCTGTCCAGGGCGGAAGGATGGGTCACGTTCTGGCTGGGCCACAAGCGACGAGGGGAGACACAGTGCATGTTTGTCAGGGCCACCACAACAAAGTGCCACAGAGTGGGTGACTTCAACAATAGAAACTGATTTCTCACAGTTCTGGAGGCTGGAAGCCTGAATCAAGGTGCCAGCAGAGCTGGTTTTCCTGAGGCCTCTCTCCTGGGCCTGCCGATGGCCGTCTTCTCCTGTCTTCACAAGGGCCTCCCTCCGTACTGTGTCCAAATGTCCCCTTCTTATAAGGACACCAGTCATACATGATTCAGACGCATCCTTCTGGCCTCATTTTACCTGAAGTGCCTCTTTAAAGACCCTATTTTCAAATATAGTCGCGTTCTGAGGCCCTGGGGGTTAGGACTTCAAACTACGAATTTTGGGGAGAGGGGAACCCCTTCAGTCCATGACACAGAGTGTGTAAAGGAGGCTGGAAGAGTGTCCACATCTGGGCAGACTTGAGTGCCGGGTCAAGGAGCTTGCACCTGGTCCTCGAGGCCATGAGGAGCCATGGCAGGTCTTAGAGCAGGGAGTGCACCCCTGGAGCTGTCACTGAGCTCCAGCCGTCAGGTCCACAGCAGACAGAAGCTCCTCTCTGGGCTGAATCAGGCGCCATTCCCACCCTCGCTGGCAAGTTGGGGGCCCAGGTCTGTGGGAGATTGGGAACCTGCTGCCTCTCTCCAGGCCTCAGTGTCCTCATCAGTAAAATGGGCCCAAGGACACGCAGTAGCATTTCCTGACTGAGGGACTCATGGCCCCTGAGGGGCCTGGACAAACAGCTCCAACTTTGCCGGTTATCCAACTTTTTCATGGTTTAATCATTTCACTTCTTTTGGACTTTCTATTATGAACAATTTCAAATATACGGAAAAGTAGAGATTATAGTATAATAAACACCCTTATACCCATTACTCAGATTTGAATAAATCTTAACATTTTGGCATGTTTCATCTTTTTTTCCTGAAAATTTTTATAGTAAATTACAGATCTTCATCTTTTACCCCTAAATCCTCCCGCCTGCCTCTCTTCACTATCAGGACATTTTCCTTAATAATCACAATGCTATGAGCAAACCTAACAAAATTAAAAATAATTCCTAATGCTGTTCAATACACAGCTCACATTCAAATTTCCCATATTGCCCTCAACAAAATGTCTTTCCTTTTGGCATCTGTAAATGAATATTAGGAAAAGGCAAACCCACGCCATCGAGAGGGTATGAAGTTTATATACAAATACAAATATCAATCTGTTTGTTTATGTATAAAATATATATATGTAGATATTTTTAAATTTTTCAATTACATCAAATTCTCAAACCTGTGTGGCAGAAAGAACGTTCCAGGTGGTTGCAGCCCTGTGCGAGGCAGCCCTTGGGAGGTGGGTAAGGTTGAGCTGTGAAGGGCCTCACACACTTGCGCACGGTGGAGGGTTGTGCCACGTGGGTGGGTGGCGGGGGCTGCAGGGCCGGCCTCTGAGCCGGGGTGCAGGACGGGCTGTCTCCAGAGGCCGGGCCTCCTTCCCCTGCTGCGCGTCCCCGCTCCCCCAGCGTAGACGGCTGCGCTGACTCCCTGGGCCTCGGACTCGTGAGCCCTGTGGGGACGGCGGGGCGTACAGCCCTGGTTCCTGGAAGAGGAAATAGTCTGGAGAAGCCATGGCTGAAAATCTGCAGGAGCAGATAGGGAGCTGGCGGCCGCGGGCTGCATGGTCACCACAGGGGACTGGAGACAGAGGATGGTTAGGACAGCTACCGCTCAGTAAGCCCTGCCGTGTGGTGAGCGCTTCTCAGAACTATTTCACTTACTCCTTCAAAGAACTTCGTAAGCTCAGTATTTTATTCTCCCCGTTTAACAGATGAGGAAACTGAGGCTCAGAGACACACTGACTTGCCCAAGGACACACAGCAAGTCAGTGCAGAGCTGGGACTTGAACCTCTGTCCGTGTGACCCAAAGCTCATTCCATGAGCTTCGCTTCCAGGAGCCCAGGACAGAGGGAGCCCAGAGGAGGGTGAGGCTACCTCTGCCGGAGGAGGCTTCAGGGACAATTTTTCAGAGGCAGTGGCTTTGAACTGGGTCTTGAAGGATGAATAGGAGTTCAGAGTTCACAGGGGAGGAGAGAAAGGGCTTTCCCGGCAGAAGGACCAGTATAGGCAAAGGTCTGGAGGCCACAGAGCTGGCTCCCCCTGTCGAGGGGGCTCTACCTTCTCACTGCTCACATATGTCCTCTCTCCTCCAGGTGGTCGGGACAAGGCGGGGCGGCCCTTGCTTCTGATGTCGACCACCCAGGGGGCCTGGGAGGCGCCATGGTGCACGGCCTCAGAGGTCACCAAACTGCTCTCCTACTTGTGCACTGTCCCCAGGTAAGGGTGTGGGCCAGCTGGCCACTCCATCACCCTTGACCTGTCACCCAGAGCCCAGGACCCAATGGAGAGACACCATAGCCTTCCATCCAGTGTCTGTTCCCAGAGTCAGTCCCGAGCCCCCTGCTGGGCGGAGCAGGACAGACTTACTCCTCGCCCTGGGGGTCCCTAGGCTGGTGGGGGAGGTGGACGGCGTGCAAGAAGCAAGCCGCGGACAAGCAACTCTCAGGGGTGTCTGTGTGGAGAAGAGAACAGAGGGATGTTGTAGATCGGCATGCGTCAGAATCACCAGGCGGGCGTGAAAGCAGACCGCTGGGCCCCACCCTGATTGTCAGATTCAGGTCTGCGGTGCAGCCTGGGAATCTGCATTCCTAACAAGTTTCCTGCTGGTACTGATGCTGCTGGGTCGGAGACACATTGAGAACCACTGTTGTACTAAGAAGGGTCGGGGGACTAATTTCAATGGTGAAATCAGGGAAGGCTTCCCTGAGGAGGTGATAAGTGAGCTGGCTTCTGAATTATAAATATTTGTTGAACCAGTGAAGAAAAGGGCGAATGAGTGAATGAATGAGTGAGTGAGAGAGTGAAAACAAGAATGAGTGAGGGAGGGAGTGAAGGAAAGTGAGCCAGGCTGACTTCTAACATCCACCAGCCCCACCCCATTCAGACTTCACGTTGGACTGCTGGGGAAGAGGCGCCACCCTCTCTGAGCCCCAGCCCCCAGCCCCCAGCCAGGGCTGTCGCAGAGGTGGTTTGCTGGGACTGTGGCATAGATCTCAACCCAACCTAGAGGTTCTGCCCCGGGGGAGGAGGAAGGGATCCTTGGAAGCTTCTCCATTCACTCCACTCCACAGGAGCCATCACTGCCACCTGCTGGCCACTTGGATTTTTCTTCCTCTTGTCCAAGGGGGAGTGGCTTTTCTGGCCTGAGTGGGAGATGGAACCCCCTTTCGAGGCTGAGAAGTGGCCAGCGTGGTAGACAGAACCCTGGAATCCCACCAGCCTGCTGTGTGACCTTGGGGTGGTAACACCCCCTCTCTGAGGCTCACCTGATAAAAGGGGATGACCAGGTGGGCTCTGAGGACCCAGTGTGGTCACAAGAGGTGGGGGTGAGGTGCACTGTAAACCGTGGAGTGCCATGTCCATGGGGTCTTGTGTGCTGGGCTTGCTTTTCCACTCCTGCTGTGAACCAGCGTTGCTGGGCACCTGCTCTGGGTCGGCTTTATGCTGGGCCGTGCTGGCCACCCAGACGCTCCTCACCTCGGGCCCTGACCTCTAGGGGCCTCCAGGCTGGTGGCGGAGGCAGGTGTGGAGGAGACCTCTCTCCCAGCCGGGGCACAGCCTCCGACAGCCTCCTCTCAGTTTGCCACGTCACCGCCCCATGCCTCAGTTTCCCCTTCCAGGACTGTCATAATAGCAGACCTTCATATCCCCCTTGCTCTGCGCAGCCAGTGAGCGCTTTACAGTCGCGACCTCATCAGCCGTCAGCCCAGCCCCATTTACAGATGCGAAATTGACTCCGCGCAATGCAATGCGCGGGCCTGGGTGACAGACACGTGGCCATGCCCCAGCTCCACCCCCACGCCGACCCCCTGGTTTCGCCTGTGAACTGGTGGTTGTAGGGCCTGAATGCAGTTGGGGGTCATTGTACCAACCTGCCTGGTCATCGGCATGGCCGAGGGCACCTGGAAGCACACCGACGCCCCGCCCCGCCCCGCCCCGCCCCGCCCCGCCCCGCTGGATGATGTCTGCGGGATGCGGTGGGGGTGGGGTGCGGAATCGGTATTTTGACAAGTCCACACAAGCGGGCCAGTTTGGGAAATCCTAAAGTAATCCCTGAAAAGTGCATCGTGAACCTGTGAGGGTGAACCGATTCCAATTCAAAAAGTCTTACCTATCAGGAAAACTATCCTTCTATGTCCCGGCCTTATATCTCTTTGTAAGAACTTTTTAAAGGTGAGAATGTCTTTCCCAGAAGTCCCCCAGCAAACTTCCCTTCACATCTCATTGGCCAGAAAAGTGTCACATGACCCATATCTAAACCAATCATTGGCCAGAGGATTTGGGTCCCTACTGTTGGCCTCAACCAATCAGAAGTCAGTTCCAGGGTGCGTGAAGGATACACGTGGTTATATGGAGGGAGCTGGATTCTTAATAAAGTGAGGTTCTGCCCACACGAAAGGGGTGGGTGAGCCTTGGGGACTCACCCACTGCAACTGGGAGAGTGGCTTATAGTTTCTGATTATTGGGGTGTAAGAGAGAGCTATGTGAGGTACTGTGGGAGCACTGAAGAGGGAGCAGTGAGCTCTGCCTGGAGAAGAATCAGGGAGGGCTTCCTGGAAGCGGGGGCACGGGGACTTTGTCTTACAGGATGCAGAGTTCTCCAATAAATCAAGGCTTCTAGCAGCCAGTTCCCCTCACCTCCCACTAGGTCCTTCCCCCTCGAGAGTCCCGGTTCACCCAGCAAGACTGCCAACTCTGTCTACCACCCACAGGCCTGAAGAGAAGGCCAAGGGGCTGGCAGTTGTGATTGACGCCAGGAGCCAGCCCCCGCATCCCGGTCTGGTCAGTGCCCTGCAGGCCACCCAGGTGAGTGGGAGGTGGACAGCCTCAGCCTAGTGAGTCTTGGGAGCACCGGGGGCCTTGTGACATTCCCGCAGCTCAGAGCTGGGCCCAGGACCCCACGCAGGGACTCTCAGTGTTGATAACAGAAACCCCAGCCCAAACTGGCTTAGAGACAAAGGTCGTTCATTGGTCCCTGCGACTCGACATTCCAGAAGTTAAATCCACCTTCAAGTGTGGCTTGATTCAGGGGCTCAGATGCCGTCAGCAAGATCTGGCTCCTCTCTCCCCATCTCTGGCCCCTTCGCAGCCAGGCTCCCTCTCGGTGGCAGTCCGGCTCCCAGCAGCTCTGAATTCCGATGGTCTTTCATTAAAGTTGGGTAGGAAGAAACGAGAGAGTCCTTTCCCAGAGGTCCCAGCCAAAGTTCCTTCGTGTCTCCTTAGCCCCGATTGGTGCGGGTGACCATCCGTCACGCGGTCTCTGTGGGCAGGGGAGTGGGACGCACCGACTGGCTCAGACTTGGCTCACAGGAGCCTCCTGGACGGAGAATGGGGGAGGGAGAGATTCCTATCGAGCCAGTTGGGCAGCAGAGTAAATGGAAGGCTGGCATCTGCTCACCTCGTGGTCTGACCTCCACCTCCCCTTCTCCCTCCTCCTCTCTCTATAGATGGGGAAACTGAGGCCCAGAGGGGGCGGGGTGTCTAGGAAGTTTGCAACACAGCTTGGACCTGCTGCTCTCTTGACTTCCAATGACTCGCCCTCCAAACATACCACATAAGGGTCCAGCCACAGGGACCCCCCACATACCCCACGCCCGTGGCCCCTTTGCCTGCATCTTAGCCAGGAGGCTCAGTGAAGGCCTGGGCAGAGCGGCTCTGACGTGCTTGTCTCCGACAGGCTCTGCCCCCGGCCTCCATCCGGGCCCTGCTCTTCCTGGGGGAGAAGGAGGCCGCTCTCCAGCTGCGGGCGTTACCCGACATCCAGGTGAGGGGGACGCAGCGGCCGGGGGCCGAGGCATAGGGGACTTGCTGGGCTGGGGCCAGGATCCGGCAGGACCTTCTCAAATGTCTGTCCCCCACACTGGGTCCCGGTCCTCCTGACTCTCTTCTTTTGTCTGTAGGTAGAGGTGCTGACCTCACTGAAGGCCCTCAGCCACCATGTGGCCCCCAGCCAGCTGCCCGCAGCCCTGGACGGCCCCTTCCCCTACTGCCACAGCCAGTGGGTGCAGCTCTTCCAGGTGCCCAGCGTCACAGCCTTTATCCCCCGACACCCTTTCTCTTTCTCCCTCCGCCATCCTGTCCCACAGATCCATTGACTCTGTTGGGGTCAAAAACAGTCATTCAACAAACATTTATAATGAGGGTGCAGAATGGAGTAATTAAGAGCTCAGGCTCTGGAGCCAGACAGCATGGGTTCCAATCTCAGCTCTGCTGTGTGACCTTGAGTGAGTTATACACCTTCTCTGGGCCATTTTCCTCAACTACAAAATGGGGTTAATGATAGTACCTCCTCGTGGGGCTGTCGCAATGATTAATTGAGCTACTGTGGGTAAAGAGCTTGCAAGAGTGTCTAGCACATGCTGGAGTATGTCTATGTTAACTGGAAATACACTTACAGACACCTGCTCTGTGGAGCCCCACAACTCGGGGGACTCAGGGCCCGGCGGGGAGGTGCAGATGCGCTCCCTCCTGCGAGAGCGAGGGAATAAGGAACCGCCCGCGCTGGGCTGCTTTCCTGTGCCATCTCAGTCCCTCCTCCCCACAGCCCTGCGAGGGGGCAGGTCATGCCCAGTCACCCTGTGGGGACACACAGGCCCGGGTGATGGGCACAACAGTGCACCGAAGATTACTGCTTCAGCTGCGTGGACACCGTGCCTGTGGACACTGCCCCAGGCTCCCCCAGGACAGGGCTGCGCAACCACGGCGCCATCCAGGTGTGGGCCAGAGAATCCTCACTTTTGGGGGGGAGCTGTCTTGTGCGTAGTAGCTTGACTAGCGCCATCATGGCCTCGACCTGCTCTGACAGTAGCAGCCCACAAATTGTGACAACAGAAAATGTCTGCAGACACTGGCAGTGTCCCCCGGGGTGGGGGGATCACCCTTCGCTGAGAACCGCCGGTCCATGCACACAGGCTGCGTGAGGTTTGTGGTCCACTTTTGGCCCCGTGCTCCCCTTTTTAAAATCCTGTCTGTTTTTGAATAGGCAGTATGTTCTGAATTCCAAGGGCATAAAGGGTCTGCGCTGAGAGGTCTTTCCTGCTCGGCCCCCAGGCCCCAGCTCTCCTCTCCAGAGGCCTCCGATTAATCCAGCGGCTTTGGAACTATATTTTCACCTTAAAACTTCCCCTGGAAGTGACGTCATACCCATAGACCCAGAAAACAAAGCTGCCAATGATGGAGACTAGTACTGTGTGCTGGGTGCTAGTCTAAGTGCCTTGCACAAATGAAGCCATTGAGTCCTCATGCAAGCCTGTGAGGCAGGGACTACGTGATCCCATCTTACAGAGGAGGAAGAGGAAGCACAGAGAGGTTAAGTAACTTGCCCAAGGTCTCACAGCTAGGAAATGGTGGAGCTGGGCTGACGTGGGGCCCAGCGGAGGATGCCCCCTTCTCCTTCCCCCTCCGCTCCCCCAGGGTGTCCCCACTGGCCTGGAGTAGCTCAGGCCTGTCTTCCTTCTTCTCCCTCCCGCATTCCCAGCACCAGTGGTCCTCAAAGTGTGGCCCCCCGACCAGCAGCATCAGCATCACCTGGGAGCTAGTTAGAAATGCAGATTCTCAGGCCCTGCCCCAGGGGAACGAAGCCAGAAACTCAGGAGTGGGGCTCAGCAGTCTGGACTTGAACCGGCTCTCCAGGGGATTCTGATGCGGCTGAAGTTTGAGAACCAACACCTCCTGCCCCCTCGTGTTCTCCTGGGTTGGGGTGCGCCCTCCTCACTGGCCCGGACTGACACCCCTTCTCTGGCCTTCCATCCTGCAGAGGTTGGACCCTTTCCTTGCTGGGCTCCGCCGGGCCTCCTCCCTCCTGCAGGCCTCCATCAAGGAGTTTGAGAGGCGCGACCCCCCTGGAGGGGTACAGGTGAGCCTGGAGCGAGTGGTAGGGAAGCACGTCACACCCCGGCCTCCAAGAGCAAGGGCTCCGTGAAGGGGACAGCCGGGGTGGGCGCCATCACCCCTGCTTTTCATCCATTAGTTTGACTAATATTTATTGGGCGCCCGCTAGGTGTCATGCCCTGGAGACCCAGCCTGAGGCAAACTGATTTGTCCTTATTCTCATGGGGTTTATTTACGGTGCAGTGATAGAGGCAGACATTTAAAAAGTAAACAGAGAAATGGATATGTGGTTACGAATTGTGCGGAATGCCAGGAAAGTAAGATTGAGGATAATGGGGAAGGATGGAGGGCCTCCCTGAAGAGCTGGTATTTCAGTTGAGGCCTGAAGGATGAGAAGGAGCCTGCCATGGGAATGGGAGGGGGCTGAGCTCCAGGCAGAGGGCAGGCATGTGCAAAGGCCCTGAGGTGGGATTATGCTTGGTATGTTCAAGAATAGCGTGGAGGCCCAGGTAGAACAGAGTGAGTTGGGGGTGCAGCGAAGGAGGGAAGAACTAAAGGATCTTCCGGGTCCGGGGGGGGCTCTATCAAGGAGGAGCTGGGCTGTGATTTGATTCTAAGTGGGCGGGGAAGCCACTGGAGAGTTTTGAGCAGGGACATGATCAGTCGCGCACTTTGAGATCCTTCCAGCTGCCATGTGGAGAACAGACTGCAGGGGGAGCCAGAGTGTGGCAAGGAGACCCGTGAAGAGGCTGGGATGGATGTCCCGGCAAGAGATGATGGCACTGGGCCCAGTGAGGTTGCCACGGTGATGAGAGGAGGCTTGGCTTGAGGAGATGTTTTAGAGTGAGAAAGCACAGACTTCCTGTAGGACCATGAATGCCAGACTGGGGGAGTTGAGCGTGATCTGGGCGTGGGGAGCTCAGGAAGGTTGTAGAGGGAGAGTGGGGACTGGGCCTCAGGCCACCTCCCTCCACTGGCAGGAGGCCTCCAGGTGTCTGAGCAGGTCCAAGGAGCTGATGGAGGCCGTGCTGAGGGACCCGGGCCTGCTGGGCCTCCAGCGGGAGGGCGGGGCCACCCTGGCCAGGCTGCAGCAGGAGGCCAGCAAGCTGGACTTCCACCCCGACGTCAGGTACAGACCCCGGGGTTCTGCGCCCCCACCCCACCCCGTTCCCTGGCTGGGGAGCCTGGAGCTGGGGCCACCCCGCTGAGGGGACACATAGGCCTCAGATCCTGGACTGACGCCTCGGCAAGGTCCCCGTCCCTTCTCTGCTGCTCCTCTTCAACCCCGGCCATCCTCAGCCGGTGTGGGCATCGGAGGACAGCCTCTGGCCGTTTCTGGTCACCCTCGGGGACCTAGCACCTTCTCTGACCCCAGAATTGTGTTTGTTCTCTCCATCAGAACAAACACAGTTACAAAGTTTGCATCAGCTTCTACGAGCAGTTTGTTTATTTCACCACCACGTACGCCGCACTAAGGATGTACACAGCCTTGTCCTCAGGGCTTTACAGATATTGACTCACTTAATCCCCACCCATGAGGGAGATCCTGCTGTTATCCTCCTTGTACAGCGGAGGAGCCTGAGGCTCAGCGAGGTTAAGTGACTTGCCCAGGGTCACACAGCTGGGATGTGGTGTGGGCCAGGACTCGAACCCAGGCAGCCTGGCCCAGAATCTTGAACGCACCACCCTGAGCTGCGCCCACGGGCAGATTCACGCTGACGTGAGTGCCGGGCAGCAGCGGGTGCTGGCGCGGCGTGTGGAGTCACCTCCTTGCCCCTCACACGGGCCGGTGGGCTGGCACCGTCTTTCCCGGCACGTCCCCGCCTCCCTGCTGGGCCCCCAGCCGCCTTGTCCGCCGTAGGTCCCTGCAGACCCCTGGCCGCCGGCGGCTCCACCAGGGGGCGCTGTGGCCCCACATGAGTCCCGCGCGCGGTTTTCCCGCACACGGTCCCGGGCTCCCGCCTGGCGGCCCTGCCCCCTCCCTCTGCCGGGCGGGGTGGCGTTGTCCATCCCGCGAACGCACCCGGGGGCTCACGCCTTCCTGGGGCGGGGGGGCAGTGACCTGTGGGGGCGGCCGTCAGATGGGGCGGCCCGCAGCGCGGCCCCCTCAGGAAAGCGGATCTCCTCCCATCCCCTCTCTCTCCTCCCATCCCCTCTCTCTCCTTCTCCTTCTGTAATAAGACCCCCGAGGGCAGAGGAGGGTGGGCGGGATTTGAGGGGTGATGGAACGCCCGAGCACTCTCCCTTTCCCAAGCGTGGCCACGCCTGGAGTCCCAGCTACGCCCCTCCATTTACGTCCTGCTGGCTTGGACCAATTTTGTAAATTATGTGCAGAAAAAGCCGTGGGCTGGGCGCCGGTCCCGACTGCCCGGCTGGGGTCGGGGCCTTTCTCCCGACCTCAGTTTTCCCATCTGAGAAACGGAGGCCAGAGCGGGAGGCCTCTGACAGCCGCTCTCCACCGTGGCAGGGGAAATCGCAGACCCCGAGCCCCGCGCCGTGGTCAGGGCTGTGAAGGTGGGGGCCGGCTCCCAGCCCGGGCGGCCCCGGAAACCCGAGGGCTCTGGAAAGCACTCACGTCCGGGGCACACTCGGAGCCTGACGCACTTGGCCCGGGTGGCCTGGGCATCGAGATTTTTAAAGCTCCCGGGCGGGTTGTCACGTGCAGCCGGGCTTGAGAGCTAAGGCGTGAGATCGTTCAGTCTCTGCAACCAACCTGTGAGGTGGGTTCTGTTACCCACACTTCTTATAGATGAAAACACAGAGATGCAGAAAGAAATTTGCACAAGGCCTCACTATCAGGAGGTAGCAGGGCTGGGATTTGAACCCGGATCTGTCCAGCTCCGTTCATACCCTCCGAGGGAAAGGAAGGGTCATTTGGTTTCCTGCTGTGTCCTCTAGTCCTCCCAGTCCCATGGAAGGCCAAGGCTGGGCCCAGAGAGGTGTAGGGACCTGTCCAGGGTCACACAGCAAGTCAGCAGCTGGAATACCCCAGCCGGGGCCACGGGCTTGGTGGGAGTTAGGGGGCAGGCCTATGCTGGGCAGGAGTGCTGGGGAGGGTCACATCTTAGGCTTCTCTCACCTTCCTCCACTCCCCAGGAGTCATCTGGCTGAAGCCACTGCTCTGTACAGCCTCATGGACGAGCAGCTGCATGTCCTGGTCACCGCGTCCAACCACCTCCTGGGGAGGCTGGAGCTCCGCGTCCGCCTGGGCCGCCTGGAAGCTGCCATCCTCCAGGTGAAAGGGGAGGCTTGCCTGGGGGAGGTGGTGGCTTCTGCCTGGCCAACCCCCACAGGGAAGGTCCTGTTCCAGGCCGTGTCCCAGCCGGGCACCCTGCCCTGGTGTAAGGACACGAGGTGGGCAGTCCTTCAAGGATGCCGGGCAGGCATCCTTGGGACACATGACGTGACACTCAGCAAGTGCTTAATGGGTGAAAACCTAACCCCCAAAGCTATACTTATGGGAGACCAGCTGTGTGCTGAGGCTGGGCCAGAGCCCTTGCACCCAGCGTCGCTTTCCAGCCTCATCACTCCCCCATGCTGTGGGGAAGGTGCTCACAGATGAGAAATCCCAGGCCAGGCGACATTACATCACCGGCCCGTGGCCACACCCCATGGTCTGATCCTGGAGCCCACACCTGGCAGCACCTCGTGTGACTGCGCTGCCCAGAGCAACATGTCCCGTCACCTTGGGGCCGTGGGGCGCAGTGCGCTCTGGAGCCAGATGGCGTGGGTCCGGTCGTGGCTCCGGCCCTTACTGGTAGTGTGACCCTAGATTAGTTATTCAACTGTTCAGTGCCTCGGTTTCCTCATCTGTTACATGGGGATAATCTTAGTTCCTGCCACACTGGGCTTTGTGAGGATGAAGTGAGTGAATACACGCCTTTAAGACACCCCAGAATAAGAAGGGACTTCTGCCCATGGGTTCAAGAACACCCCTGTGCGTCATCGAATCCTTACGTCTACCCCATTTTGCCACTGAATGAACTGAGGCCCCAGGAGGGGAAGCACCTTGCTCCAGTCACACAGTGAGTTCATAGCAGGCCCATGCACCTTCCTCTACAGCGGGCAGCTTTTCTCCAGCACTGTTTGCACACCCCCAGGGACAGGGAGCTCATCCCTCCCAAGGCTGCCCCTTTGATGACTGGGCGGCACCGAACGGTTAGAGTAAGCTGAAATTTGCCACCCTGTGACTCATTCAGACAAGTGTGCACCTAATGTGTGTAGGGCACCGGCCAGGCCAAATGCCCTCTGGGGTGCACTCAGGGAGCCCCCTCCCTTTCGGATATTTGAAGAACATGACAGAGCACTCCCTTCCACAGGGTGTCTGTTCTCCCCCCAGAACTGGGAGGGTTTCCGTCCAGGCCAGTGGCCTCCCCGGAAGGTGGGGCGCTGGCCAGGGGCCGTCTCCCGGCAGCCCCCTCACGTCCAGACCTCCTCCCCCGCCCCAGGTCAGCAACTGGATGGAGCAGGAAGGAAGCCGGTGCCTGCGAGCGCTGACCCCCCGGGACGGAAGCCTGGAGACGGTGGAGCAGGCCCACGCCGCGTTTGAGGACTTCTTCCTGCAGGCTGCAGTGCGTTCCGGAAACTGAGGAGCAACACCCGAGCAGAGGGAGGGGCGCAGAGGGGGCGGCACGGCAGGACCGCACGGCGGAGGTGGGAAAGTGCGAGGAAGCTTCCAGAGACAGTGAGGAGGCCAGTGCGGATCACAAATGGTTCCGCTTAGATGGTGTCTCCTCCAGGAAGCCTTCCAGGATCCCCAAGTCCACAGATGACCAATCTCAGAATCTCTGAGGGCTTCTTAAAATGCTGATTCCAGGGTCCCACCCTGGGCCTACAAAGTCAGCCCCAGAGAGCAGGGCTGGGGAATCTGCGTCCTTGGTGCGCTGGGTCCTGGGCACAGGGTGATTGAGCCTCTGTTTCAGCCCTCAGGGAAGGCCCAGGCCAGGGGGATGGGGGCGGGGGACAAACAGGGAAACAGGCAGAAAGGGATGGCTGTGGGGACACGAAGACGTTGGGGTCAGGGAAGTTTCCCAGAAAGAGGTGACACTAAGCAGAGTCCAGCTAGAGGAAGTGAGCGGCCTGGGCAAGGGCCTGAGTCTCCCTTGTATAGATGGGGAAACTGAGGCTCAGGGAGTCGCAGACTCGGCAGCGGGTAGCGGGAGGTTGCAGCCCAGGCGGGAGCTGAGTGGACCCCCCACTCTCCCCGCTCAGGCCCAGTACCGGCGTGGCCTGGAGCTGTCTAAGCAGGCGGCCCAGCTGGGAGCTGCAGGAGGGGCCGGAGAGGCGGGAGGAGCCGAGCTCCCAGAGCTGGCCGCCTTCGCCGCCACCCAGCGGGCCTTCCAGGCTAAGCTGACCCACTTCTACATGGCGGCCGAGCGGCAGCGCACAGACCTGGAGACGCAGCTGCACCTACACCACTTCTGCAAGAGGGTGAGCCTTGCGGCCCGCCTGCACAGACACCCCCGCAACCCCCACGAGGCCCGGTGGGGGGCGGGGAGCAGGGAGCGGCCTAGACACAGCACGAGGCTCTTTGCATGATTCATTCCCCTTGTCCCTTGAGTGGGAGAAAGCATGACCCGCGTTTTCCAGAAGGGAAACAGGGTTTGCGAGGTTAAGTCACCTTCCTAACCAGGGCGGGTGACCCCTGACCCCAGCTTGTCCCACTACACCAGGCAGCCTCCCACTGACCTGGTGTCAGCTCTCAAAGGACCCTCAGGAATCACCTGCTTCTTCAACTCTGGGATTAGGGGAAGGAGCCCGGGGATTTCTGAGCATCCGGTCAAAGCCGTAGACTCCTCCACACATGGATCTCTGCAGGCAACGTCAGGGGTCAGGACCAGGCTGAGAACCTTGACCTCGTGCCCCTCCTCTGTGGCAGAGTTGGGGAAGCAGGATCAGAGAAGGGCTGTCACTTAACCAAGGTCACACAGCAAGCCCATGGCACCATTCGAGCGCTCTTTCCTCTGTCTCACCTTGCCCTGCACAAGGTGGGGGCGCCGGGGCAGGAGGGCGCAGTCAGCTGAGGCTGGGCCCAGAGGCTGCCCTGAGCACCCTCAGAACAGAGGCCTCAGTCTTCACCAGGAACCAGAGTTTGGCCAGGAGGCGGGGGGGGGGGGGGGGTAGCGCCACTGTGTGTGTACGTGGGGGGCGAGCGCAGAGTTGGGGTGGGAGGCCAGAGGAACTGCATCTTCATCTCCCAGCAGCCCAGTGTGCCACGGTTAATCAGCCCCATCCTACAGATGCGGAAACTGAGGCCCAAAGACGGAAGGACTTTGCCCAAGGCCACACAGCTGGAGGAAGGAAGAGCTGGGATTTGAACACAGATGTGTCTGCGCCCCATAACATGCCCCGTATTCTTCTCCGAAGGTGGGGGCGTGGCAGCCAACTCCCATGTCCCAGCAGCATGAGGATGGTGAAGATTAGGTGACCCTTAGGCGGGAGCCCACATTATCGACTGTGTCCTCCACCCAGGCCCTCCTGTGGGCGCTTCACAAACCCTGCCTGACTTAATTCTCACCATATCTTTATAAGGGAGGGGCACCAACATGGTTTCCATTTCACAGATGAGGAAACTGAGGCCCAAAGAGGACAGTGACTTGCTCGAGGTTTCCCAGAAGGTCAGTGGTCCAGCAGGATTTGCCCGAAGAGCCCCACCCTTCCTAAGATCATGAAGCCAAACCCCTCGGTTTTCCGATGGGGAAACCGAGCTCCCGAGGGAGCTGTAACCCAGCTGGGTCAGGAACCCACATCTCTGGCCCCAGCCCAGTGCCCTCAGCCGCCCCTCGCACTCACCACCGAGGACAGAGTGTGGGAAGAGGCTGACCCCTTCTCTCGGCTGTCACGCTGACCCAGTACATAGGGGACAGAGAATACAGGATGCTTCAGAGTGCAGCGGGAGGGACCCCGGTCAACTCATGCCTGGGGCGCCGGGAGAACAGGCCGCTCTCTGTCTCTCTGGGGCAGCAGGCAAGGGAGGCGGATGTGGGCAGTGATGGCGACAGGATGCCCCACTCCCAGCTGTGCAGTAGAGCGAGGCAGGGGTTGGATCTGAGACTGAGTCAAAGGCGACTTACGCCTGCAGGGGCTGTGTGACCTCAACGCTAGTCTTCACTGCTCTGGGCCCCAGCTCCTCGTCAATAATAATGACTATAATAATAACAGCAACCCATGCTTATGTTGTTCTTACTACGTGGCAGGCCCTCTGTTCCTGTCATTTTGCATATCGTTTCGTTGTCACACCAACCCTATGAGGCAGGCACTATTACTATGCCCATTTTACACTCAAGGAGACACAGAGAGGTCAAATAACTCACCCAGGGTCACACAGCTAAGAAGTGGCAGAGCTAAGATTCAAACCCAGATCATCCAGCTCTAGTGCCTGGTAGTGGGAGAATTAATTTAAACGTAAGTAACCCCCCAGCTTTGCTCAAATTTGGAACGATTATTATTAACGTCAATATTATTATCATTAGTAGTGGTGGGAGGGGTAGTAATGCCTCATGGCTTAAGGGTGTCTGGAAGCTTCTCTCCCTTGCTTACTAATTTCAGCCCCTTGGCCTTCCCCGGAGAAACTAAGCTTAGTCCAGCTCTGAGGCCTTTGCGGTTGCTGTTCCCTCAGCTAGGAACGCTCTTCCCCTCCACCAGACGGTCTCTTGTCTTTCTTCAGTGCTCTGGCTCATGTGTCCCCACCTCCGAGAACCCCGTCCTGACACCCAGCTCCCACCCCCGTTCTCTCTCATCACACTGTGTTTATCGTTTCCTGGTGCCCTTTGTGATCTGACATTATCCTGCTGCCTTGTCACCTGCTTGTCCCTCGTCTGTCACCTGTGAGTGACCTCCCCTATGCGGTGGCTGGGGCTGACTGGTCCTGGTCCTGGTCCTGTTGGCAGTGCCCAGCGCAGGGCCAGCGCCCAGGGGGCTCGGAAACGCTGAGGACGGCAGGCCAAGAGGTGGGAGGAAGAGTAGGAGTTAGGAAAGGAAGGCAGGCGGGGGTTAAGTGTGTGAAGGTGGAGTCTGACCCTCGCCTCGAAATGGCACAGGAGTTGGCAGCTCTGACCCCAAGCCCCGCCATGGCCGTCCCCGCTGCTCGACTTGCGCAGGCCCCTTCTCTCTGGCGTGGAATTTTAATCCACACAACAAGGGGTCGGGCGAGATGATTTCCGAGGTGCTCTCCATCTCTGTCCAGCTCGGCCTGGAAGATGGAGTCCCAGACAGACAGACACACAGACAGGACAGCCCAGTGCTGGGCCCAGCCCCAGGTGAAGGGCGTGCGGGCAGCGGCTTGTGCACTAAATAATAATAACACAGTTGTGGGGCTAACGGAGATTTATGGAGCCCTTCCGCGGCCGTGAGCTCCATGTGCTTCCACCAATAGGAAGCCATTTATCTAAAGACAATTCCCTTAATCCGCAGAAAGACGGTTTCCTCGGAGAAAATGGCTCTCCAATCCCACAAGCTAACAGCTCGCTGTCGGCTTCTAAATTAATGGAGAGAAAGATTATGTTTTTCACACGCTGCTGGGAACGGCTTGGCTCCTTTGCAGCCTGCAGATATTTTGGGTGAATGGCAGAAGCCCAAAATGGGGCGCAGAGCCTGGAGGGAGGGGCCTCGGGGCTGGGTCTGCTGACTGTCACTGGTGACTGCAGGGGTGCGACTCTACCTGGGCCAGTTTCTCTGTGCTAGGAGCTGCTTGGAAGATGCTGTCTGGAAGGCCGGAGAGATCTGAGTTCAAACCCAGCTCCTCCCTGACTTGGGATCTGGGGCAGGTGATTTCATGTCTCTGAGCCTCGGTTTCCTCTTCCATAAAATGGGCTGCGGGTACAGTTCTGTGTGTCACACATGAGACACAAGAGAGCCTGGCAAATAAACGTCAGCCGGCCCCCTCTCTCAGCCCCTCTCATAAGGGGTTCGCACAATTCCAGCATCCAAGTTTTCAGCACTCAAAAGCCTTTTCATGATCCTCTGGCACAATCTCCCATTTTACAGGAGGAGACACTGAGCCCCAGAAAGGGTAAGTGCTTGCTGGCCCCGAGGTCTATCAGCCGGTGCCCGAAGATCCCAGGGGTGCTGGGGACTCTTTCCTGCTGGCAGGCGTGTGCGCCCCGGGAAGAGAGGGAGCCCACTGTCATCATTGTCAGCAGGGGAAATCATGGCCACGCTGAGGGGCCCCTCACATTGATCGGGTGCTTGTTATTAACTCGATCCAGCAATATTTATTCTTCAGGTCCCCTCTCTGCTCCGAGAGGCACGTCCCTGTCCACACCGAGCCCCCACAGCCCCACTCCCTCTCTGCTTATCTCCCAGATGACCTGGTTCCACAGGGACTGTCAGGACCTGATGACGCAGCTCAGGCTGGGCAAGGCCCAAAGGACCAGCCCTGGGGACCAGCGCCGCCTGCACCGCTACCTGCAGCGACTGGCGTCCGAGTTCCCTGAGGAGAAGCTCACGGCCATGGGGCTGCAGGTGGCCTCCCTGAGCCGGGAAGGCCTGGGCCAGGACCTGTGGGAGGAGGCCTGGGTGAGACACGAGGAGATCCAGACCCTCCTGAAGAAGGCCGTGGCCCACTGTCCTTGCCCAGCGGGTCCCACTGCCCACTCGGCACACCCGGAGCCAAGAGGGGCAGCCACCAAGGGCCAGGGTCTGAATGCAGAGGTCACCTCTAAGGGAAGGCGGGACCTGCCCCTCCAGCACCCACTGGGCCTGGACAGTTCGCCCAAATCCTGTTGGCCTCCTTGGGCCCCCAGAGTGGGGCGCAACAGAAATTTCCTGGTGGGCCCCCAGACCAGGGAAGCTGGCCAGGCTGTAGAGGCTGAGGATGGCGAGGGCCCCCGTGAACCCCTTGATCCTGCCCCTGAACGGTCTCTTGCCACACTCTTCTCCTGGCAGCGGCTCGCCAGGCAGGGTCAGAGCCCCCGCCCCACTGGGGGCAGCTTCTCCTCAGAGGGGACAGACTCCCAGACGTCTCTGGAGGACTCGCCACAGACAAGTCCCCCAGCATCCCTCTAGCTGGGAGCCCCCACCATGTCACCATGCTCCAGGGGGTGGCTGGGCTGGGGCCCAGCTGCAGAGGGAGCTGGGGAGCCCTGGCCGATCCCATGGAGACATGGCTCCTGAGCCCTCAGTGTGTTTGGCCTGTGCTGGGGGGAAGAGCACCTGGACCCGCTCCCGGCTCCAGAAAACTCCAGGAAGACCCGACTTACGCACATTGACGACGGTGAGAGAGAGGTCAAGGCAGGATGCAGTGGAGCAGGTGGTTGGCTTCACGGGCCCTGGGTCTCATTGTGGAAAGAGCTGCTAGTACGGACCCTTCCAGGGGTGTCAGTCATAGGCAGGCCCGATGCCCGCCTGGAGTTCAGGGGCACACAGCTTCCCCTTGGAGAGCAAGGGGCAGAGTTGCCCTCATACAGAACCATGGGTGGGGAGATGCCGGAGGGGCGCCTTGTCTCAGGGTCCCATGGAAACAAACCTCAAGACAAGGATTCGAGGGCACATCTATTTGGCTGTGATCCCAGGAACCCCTGGTGGAGGCGTAGGGAGACGAGTCTGGGGAGGGAATAAAGGGTGTTGTTGTCAAGTAAATTACCGTGTGCTATTTATTCGCTGGCGCCATTGGCCTCCGGTGAAGAGAATCACCTGCTGGCAGCCAGTTAGTGCCCACAGAAGGGTAAGGGCGATGGAATGTCTGCTGCCCTCTCTACTCTGTCTCCCTGGGCTCCTCCAACTGACACGGGCCATCGGTCTCAAAGTCAAGGAACCCCACAGTCTTGTCCTTGCCCTCCGGAGAGTAAGGACTCTCGCCCTCCGATGTTCTCTGTCTTCTTCCCCTCCCCACCACTCCTCAGGCTCTGCATCCACTCCCCCACAGGTCCCCACCTTTCTTTAGGCACAGTCTCTGGTGCCCAGCATCACAGGGTTCTGCTGGTGGTTGGGGTCGGGCGAGGGGGTAGGGAGCCACGTCCCCATTCAGCAGGTGGTGCGGGGGCCCGAGGGAGAGGCCTTTACATCTCTGATCTCAGAGTGTCTAGAAGAGAGCCAGCCTCTCAACCGCCCTGCTAGAGCCTCCCCTGAACGTCATTATGCTGGAAAGTGCGCCCACATCTCTGCCTTAGGATGCATTACCAAGACGGCCTTCTGGCCGCCCAGCCCTGGAATTTTCCTGGCTCTGGTAAGAGGGTGGAGCGCACATCCTCCCACAAATGAGGCTATGGAATAGGGGCAGGCAGCACTGGAACAGGCCTATGAGGACAAACAGGACTTCTCAGGAGTCATCTCAGCAGACAGCCACACAAACCTCAATACCCACAGTGGCTTCAAGAATCTTCCAAGACTCAAGATTTTGTCAAGTGTGGTCTGAGGCCTGTCTGCCTCAGAACCATGAGCAAGGCTGATCAAAGGCAGCTTCCTAGGGGAACCCACCCCAGATAATTAAAATCAGACCCTTGGGGCCAGGAGTGGCTGGAATCTGCGTTTGTAACCAGCTGCTCAGGTATTTCCCATTGACTCAGCGAGGTGAGGGATGCTGTTGGGAAACATTTGGGGCTGGGGTCTGAGCTGGCCCCCACCCAAGCCAGCTCTGATTCTTGCATCCCAGTCTCCCGTCTTCCATCCAGACAGGCCTGGGGATGCAAGCGGTGTTTGATCAGCCCATCTCCATCCGTGCCTGTCGCCTCAGAGGGACTCCGAAGGCTCTTAAAATGCTGTTGCCACAGCAACAGCATCCAGCCAGTGGGGACCACAGGCAGAGAGCCAGGGTACCTGGAGTGCAAGGATGGAAACTGACTTCTGAGCGACCACAGCTACTGCTAGGGATGAGGGGGGCTGAGCGAGATGGATGGTCCAAGAATCCTAGTGAGGGCGCAGTCCCCAAAGCCATCTTGTGCATCCCTCTGTCTCTAAAAAGAACTGAACCCCAACAACTCGTCTACTCATAGCAGCCCCTGGGGGAGAAGGAGATGCAGAAATGAAATACAATGAATAATATATAAAGATAATGAAGAATAATATTAATTGCTAACATTTATTCTGCATTTCCTTTGTCCTGGCTTGGTGCTAAGCCCTTTAAAAACTTCCCAGGGCTCAGCGAATTTTGCACAGCAATGCTATGAAGCCAAGACTGATTTCAGCCCATTTTACTGAGGAGGAAACGGAGGCTCAGAGAGGTTTGGCAGTGCCTCTCCCAGGGCCACGCAGTGAGTGGCAGAGCTGGGACTTGATACAACGCCGATGCTTCGGACTCAGCCTCCGACACGCCTGGGCTGGTTGCTGGTTCTGCAGTGGCCATGGGCTTGGTCCCCTCAGAAGTCCTGCTGTGTCTGGCCACCGCCCTGTACCCAGGGGCTGTGGTTGGGCCGGGCGTGGTCCTTTGGGCAGCACTAGCACTTACATCCCATCTCCGGTAGCACTCAAGGCAGTGTGGCACAGTGGTCAGTCACACAGCTCTGGAGTTGGACAGATGGGCTTCCCGCCCAGCCTCCACCCCTCACAGGCTGTGAGTCCTTGGCCAAGTTCCGCTACCTCTCTGTGCCTCAGTTTCCTCACCTGTGACATGAGAATACTCAGACCTCAGAGGCTTGCTGTAAGAATTAAATGAGCTAAAGTGTGTGGAGCCTCGTAAGTGCTTGTTAAATGGTATCTAGTCTTATACTTTGGCGCCAGCCGGGCCAGCCCCTGCTTTCATTACCTAACAAGTCACAGAAGACATTTCTCCAGAGGCCACCAATGAATGACAATTTGAATTATGTGAATTCCCTAATTTGTTTTCTGGATCCCTAGTTGTCTCTCGAAGGCCAAAGAGACCTGATTTGTTGACTTTTGCCCTAGCCCGCCCAGCATGGGGGCGTGGCGTGGGCTCCCCAGAGAGTCCCCACTGGTGATGCCATAGTTTTGCGTTGGCAGAGCCTCAGCCCCTACAGGCTGCCGGGGAGGCAGAGGGGCCATGTCCCTCTGTGGGATTTTTAGGAAGTTTGAGCCTGTTCTGGCGGGAAGAAGGCGGGTCAGACAGGGAACCCCAAGTCTGCCACTGACAAGTCTGTGAATATCCCACTGAGATGGGAGCCCTTTTTTCCAGCTCAAGGGTGGTGGGCTAGGGGTGATAGGAGGAGAGTGGCCTGGGAGTCAGGGACCTCACGTGCCACTTCTGCCCCGAGGCCGACTGCCTGCGTGACCCCAGGCAGGTTGCTTCCCCTCTCTGGTCCTCAGTTTTCCCCAACTGTTTGATGGGTTTGTCAAGCCTGCTGGGCCAGGATAATAAGATTTTGGGATCCTCGAGCTGCACACCAGGCCTTTTTCCTCTCCAGAGGGGTGGCTGTCTGGTGAGGGAGCAAAGCCTGAGAACCCCATTGGGCAGAGGCCTGAGGCAGAGGTAGGACGGAGCCCAAAGAGAAGTTTAGGCACTTTACAGTTTACAAAGTACTCTTTTGTCCATCCATTTCCTCATCTGATATTCACCCCGAGGGCACAAAAGTCATACTCTAGGATGTCCCCACTTTACAGATGAGAAGACAGAAGACAGGAGAGGGGAGGTGACTTGCCTAAGGTCACATAGCAAGAAGAGGGATGGAGAAGGGGAAACCTCAGCATCTGGGCCCAGTTCTGATCCTTGCCAAAGCCAGGGGAGCAGATGGGCCTCCCTCTTGTCAGCCCCTCTGAGACAGGCGGCCACCCCCTCACACCCTCAAGTCACCCACACCAGACCCCGGCAGGACAGCTGGCTGGGGTCAGGGCACAGCCTGCCCTCACCAAACAGACATGTTTGTTCTCTGGGGGCTGTGAACTGCCTTCCAGCCCAGGACAAACCCGTCTGGCCCCAACCCCCTCCTCCCAGCTGAAAAATAGCTCTTTGAGGCGGGAGTCAGCGGGCCCCCTGGAGAATAAGTGCTCTGGCTGGGTGGCAGGACTCCTGGGGTCCCATTCCCCTCTGGGGCACGATGAGGGACCCTGGTGAACCACCACACCTCCTCAGGCCTCACTTTCCTCGTTTGTGAAATGGGGAGATTGGGCCAGACTAGGCATGGCCAACTGTGTCGCCTTGTGTGTGGAACCTGTCTCCTCTCCCACCCCGGCCCCTCTCTGTGCCCTCACCATCCGCCTAGGTGCCCAGGCTGGAAACCTGCAAGCTGCCCTTACACTTCCCAACAGGCCCTACATCCACCCCCCGCCATCTCCTCTAACTTTCCACTTCTCTCTCCCTCCACCTCCCCACCCTCAGAGCAGCCTCCACCCTCTCTCCCAGGAACAGCTAAAACAGTATCCTCAAGGATCTTCCTGCAGCCACGTGGGCCCCTTTCATCCGTCCTCCACACAGAAACTAGAGGGAACTTGCAAAATATAAAGTAACGTCAGTCCCCGCTTAACACTGCCCAGTGGCGTCCCATGGCTCTCCGGACAGAAACCCACCCCTCGCCGTGATCCACGGAGCCCCGTGTGGCCAGGCCTCCGCCCACCCTCTAACCCCGCCTTATTCCCCCAGCTCCACGGTCCCTGACTTCCAGCAACACTGACTTCCTTTCAGTTCCTCAGCCATCCAGGCTCTCTCTGAGGTCAACTTCCCCTAGAAGCAAGCGTGGCGGTGAAGATTAGGTGCAAGTGACTTGTTGAAAAGGCGATCACGAGAGGAACCAGTGGAGGGAAGAGGGAAGCAGGACGGAGAAGGGAAGGGAGCCAAGGTGCCGTCTCAGACAGAGTCCCAGCCTCTGCCTGATGATGCGGGGGGGGGGGGGGGGGGGGGGGGGGGGGGGGGGGGGGTGACTCTGCAGGGTGCCATCCCCCTCCAGGCACTTCGTGCTCTCTGCAAAAGCACCTGCGCAGGGCCGCCACCCTGAGGGCAGTCCTTGGAAGGGCGTTGCCCATAGAAGACAATATTCTCTGTTAAGATTACATAGACAGCTCTTACAACTATATAACAATTTTTTTTTTTTAGATTTTATTTTTCCTTTTTCTCCCAAAGCCCCCTGGTACATAGTTGTGTATTTTTAGTTGTGGGTCCTTCTGGTTGTGGACTGTGGGACGCCGCCTCAGCACGGCTTGATGAGTGGTGCCATGTCTGTGCCTGGGATCAGAACTGGTGAAACCCTGGGCCGCCAAAGCAGAGCGTGTGAACTAACAACTCAGCCATGGGGCCGGCCCCTAAATAATAATTTTTTTAAACTCCAGTGTAAAAATAGACAAAGGAGGGGCTGGCCCAGTGGTGTAGTGGTTAAGTTCACGTGCTTCACTTTGGCAGCTGGGGGGTTGCAGGTTTGGATCCTGGGTGCAGACCTACACAGTTTGTCAGGCCATGCTGTGGAGGTGTCTCACATACAAAATAGAGGAAGGTTGGCACAGATGTTAGCTCAGGGCCAGTCTTCCTCACACACACACAAAAAAACTAGGCAAAGGATCTGAATAGGCATTTCTCCAAAGAAGGTACAAAAAAGGCCAATAAGCATCAACATCATTAGCCATCAAGGAAACGCAAATTAAAACCGCAATGAGATACTGCTTCACATTCGCTAGGCTGGCTAGAATAACAAAGTCAAATAATAACACATATTGGTAAGGATGTGGAGAAACTGAAACCCTCATACGCTGTTGATGAGAAT